AAAAAAAAAAAAAAAAAAAAAAAAAAAAAGAATTGCATGAGCAAAGGACATGAGTAGAGACGTGAAACGCATCATGCGTTTTGGGTATCGTCATAGCAAAAAGCAGTGTGTGTGTTGTGTTTAAGTGATGTACTGCAGTACTGTAGGAGATACGCTGTGTACTTCGTTGACTGTAGGAAACTGGTCTGAAGGTGGTAGGATTCTGCCATAGTAACTAGGAACCTAGATTTGTGTTTAGGGAGAAATAGTTATCAATGTGGAGGATGGGTTGAACGGATGGGAAGAAACTAAGTGAAGTACAGAACCCTCTAGAACATTTTTTTTTTATTATTATTAACACTAGATTTATGTAGGACTAAGTAAGAAAAAGTCATATAGTACAATAAACACATAAATATATATTTTATTATATGATGTGGTTTTTATGTGACATTTGTGTATTTTCTGTTAGCAGAATTCATCTAGGTTAGAGACTAGCTTGATAATAAAAAAATGAAATAACTTCTAGATATTGGTAGGTAAATTGGCAGATTTGGATGAATTTGACTCTCTAAATTTATATTCTGCTTTAATCAGGGAAAGGAATTGAGGAAGCTAGGTTTGCATTTGTTGAACTGCTTAGAGAAGTAGAAATGATTATGGAATTAGCTAATACTGATTAGACAAAGCTGATGTTTAGCCATCCAGCTTGGTGGAGATTATCAATATTTAGGAATAGGACAAAATTATATCCATAAAAAGGGGAAATGAGCTACAATTAAGGAAGTATTTAACGATCATATTGCTTACTCTAAGGAATAAAAAGAACATGGGCTTTGTGTTCAGTAAACCTGGATTTGAATCCAGGTTGTTTCACTAGCTAGATGCCTAACTTTGGCCTTATTTAACTGCTTTGAAGCTCAATTTTTCCATCTAAAAAGTTTCTTATATCTTTATTTCTTTCATGTTTCTATTACTAGATTTTTATCTTAGTGAGTTTTATTATGAGCTGTGTACATTTGCTATTCCGGAGATAGTATCAGACTTTATTCATGGTCCATTTTTTGTTGTTGTTAATCAGGATGGGATCAGTCAGATAAGTTTGTGAAAATCTACATTACCTTAACTGGAGTTCATCAAGTCCCCGCTGAGAGTGTGCAAGTGCATTTCACAGAGAGGTGAGTTCTCATAATGGGGAAGAAAGACAGTGCCTTATTATGGGTTCTTTTCAGTTTCTAAAATTCTGCTTAAATTTAAAATTATCCTTTACATCTGCTTTAAAGGTTGAGTCTTATCATCTGGGATGGCCAGGTGCACATCCTAAAGTAAAACTGGCTTTATTTCCACAACGACTGAAGAGCACCTTTTACAGAACCAGAAAGATAAAGTGTTCACTGTTGTGTTGTAGGTCATTTGATCTTTTGGTAAAGAATCTAAATGGGAAGAGTTACTCCATGATTGTGAACAATCTCTTGAAACCCATCTCTGTGGAAGGCAGTTCAAAAAAGGTAGGTTTACTTTTTTTGTTGTAATATTGTCATAATTGTCATAATATTTTTTTCATAATATTGTGAAACCTCATGAAATTACCTGGCCAGTTTAGAATTAAGAGGAACTAGAATTAATTTATCCTGTTGCCTGTTTTGTAAATAAAGTTTTATTTGAACATATCAGTGCTCATTTGTGTATGTGTTGTCTGGCTACTTTTGTGTTTCAGTGGCAGAGTTAAGTAGCTACAACAGACCATGTGGCCCACAAAGCCTAAAATCCTAATTATCTAGCTCTTTACAGAAAAAGTTTGCCAGCTCCTGCTCTAGAAAAATAGATTACAAGAATATTGCATTAGAATCAGGAGGGTGTTGAATAAACTGAAAATGGTTAAGAATGAGACCTGAGTTTTTTCTTTTTAATTATTTATTTATTTATTTATTTATTTATTCATGGCTTTGTTGGCTCTTTGTTTCTGTGCGAGGGCTTTCTCTAGTTGCAGCAGGTGGGGGCCACTCCTCATCGCGGTGCGCAGGCCTCTCACTATCGCGGCCTCTCGTTGCGGAGCACAGGCTCCAGACGCGCAGGCTCAGTAATTGTGGCTCACGGGGCTAGTTGCTCCGCGGGATGTGGGATCTTCCCAGACCAGGGCTTGAACCCGTGTCCCCTGCATCGGCAGGCAGATTCTCAACCACTGTGCCACCAAGGAAGCCCGAGACTTTGAGTTTTAATGCCAGTTTTATCACATATTAGTTGTGACCTTTGGCAGCTCACTTAATCACTTTATACCTCAGTCTTCTCATTTGTACAATGGGAATAATAATTTGTTTTACAAAATTGAAATAAACTGTCTTTGAAACAACATTATTCATTTTTCACTAATTCAGATAATCCTTCTGTTCCTACCTAATTTAAATAAATGAAGTTTAATGCCCCTGGTACACAGATGTGCCATTCTGCTGTGTTTACAGTTATGTAGCAGCTTAGAGGTAATATTAGAATATAATTTAATGATTAACTTGTGACTCCCTGCTCCCTTCTTTGTCCACTAATCACATGTTGAAGTATTACTCAAGAGTCCTAGAGTTATGTGGATCATTGTTGAAAGGGTTGTATATTCTTGCTATTTCTGCTCACCTTGCAAACTCCCTAACCGATACCGCCTTACATGATTTTCTGCCTGTCTCTGACCCGTCTTACTGTTTTATTCTCTCCTTCAATCATCAGAATCCAGCCCTTCCTCCTTGTTTTCAAAGACACCAGAATCATCTCTTCCTATGTCAACTGCCTGGAAGGCCCTCTTTCCTGGAGCTTGGGCCACAGCTCACATTTCACCCCAGAGAGGCTTTCCTAGTGAAGTTCCTTCCCCAATACTCATTAACATCCTCTTTGTCTTGATAGCACCTAGTATTTGAAGGAATTACAGTTTGTGTATGATTTTCCAGCCTATTCATAAAAGTATTACTAGCACCTAAAACGGGTCCTGTACGTAACAGTAACTCGAGTAATTGAGTAAATAACTATTTTCTAAATATTCATGCTTATCTCCATGTGTTCTAAGTTGTACCTGTTTTCCACTTTTCTTCCAGATCAAGACAGATACAGTTCTTATCTTATGTAGGAAGAAAGCAGAAAACACACGGTGGGACTACCTGACTCAGGTTGAAAAAGAATGCAAAGAGAAAGAGTGAGTCTACTTTCATTTATTTAAGAATTATAATGTATTCTCTGCTAGGGTTGTAGATGTTCATCAATAATGGAGGTGTATAGTCTGCAATTTGACCATTTACCTTCTGATGTCCTCTGACTAACCTAGTTATATCTGCTTTCACTTGTCAGAGGGCACCCGAAGAGGGCATGTATCTAGCAAGTTGCTTTTTAAGGAGGTCTTTGTACTTGTGGTTGGTTCTTTTGTGCTGGTTCTTAACCCTGGGCCAGTGGTGCTGCTATATAGGTACTGTGCTCATTCCGAGAGATTCCATTTCAGTAGTTCCATAGTAGCCCAGATACCCATATATGTTTTTTTAATTCCACAGAAGTTTCTGATATATAGTTAGAATTTCACTATCACTGGTATAGAGTGATAAAGTTAATGAGCCCAGTTTGCACACTGATTGAACTAGAAGTGTTGACTACATTGAGGGCTGTGCTTTTATACCACCAGGCCCAAAACTCAGGTATCTCAGGCTTGAGAGAAGGCTTTTCTAATTAAAAAATATGAGCTTCAGTATGTGTCCATATGTAACATACATTTGTTTTTTATCAATGAAATTGTTTTTCATATTATATGAGGAAACATGCTTTTAAGAAAATTAAAAGTTTAGAAAAGTAAAAGCTTATTTCTTTACTTTTCCTGCTAAAAATTAACCTAAAATCCCATAGTCCCAAGATAACCGCTTACCGTTGTTTTAAAAATTAATTAATTAATTTTTGGCTGTGTTGGGTCTTTGTTGCTGCACCCGGGCTTTCTCTAGTGCGGCCAGTGGGGGCTGCTCTATGTTGCAGTGCATGGGCTTCTCACTGCAGTGGCTTCTCTTGTTGTGGAGCATGGGCTCTAGGGTGCACGGGCTTCAGTAGTTGTGGCATGTGGGCTCAGTAGTTGTGGCTCGTGGGCCTCGTGGGCTCAGTAGTTGTGGCTCGCGGGCTCTAGAGCACAGGCTCAGTAGTTTTGGCGCACAGGCTTAGCTGCATGTGGGATCTTCCTGGATCAGGGCTCAAACCCATGTCCCCTGCATTGGCAGGTGGATTTTTAACCACTGAGCCACCAGGGAAGTCCCCCTTAACTTTTTGATGCCCATTCTTTGATGCACTAAGTGTGGTTATATATTGTTCAAGATGAATCTGTACATGTTTTGATTGTCAGAGTATGTTTGTTTGGATACTGTCTTCCTCTTACCTCCACTCTTGTACTTCCTACGTACTAATTTGTCTCTTTTCATACTTAGTAATCATACCTATAAAATTTGTTAGTAAATGGGATTATTTATATATTTCTATATTCCATATATTATTATTACTATTATATGTTTCATGTACATTATATATATATATATTCCTCCATTATTGATTGCATGTGTTTTCTTTTTAACAGAAAGCCCTCCTACGACACTGAAACAGATCCTAGTGAGGGATTAATGAATGTTCTAAAGAAAATTTATGAAGATGGAGATGATGATATGAAGCGAACCATTAATAAAGCCTGGGTGGAATCAAGAGAGAAGCAAGCCAAAGGAGATACAGAATTCTGAGACTTTAAAGTCTTTTTGGGGAACTGTGATGTGGAAATATCGATGTTTCCAATGAGGAAATGTTGGTGAGCTGCACAGATAAATTTGACATATAACAAACAACTACTTACACAGTCTAAGTAAAGGCAATGAATTCTCCATTTCCTGCTGGAGGATTTGTTTAAATAAAATATGCTTATTAAACAAACACTCCCTCCAAAGATGGTTTCCTTAGTAACCGGGTCATTTTATTCAAGAAAAGGGTAATGTATTCTAGTGTGAAATGTAAAGAAACAAGTCTTACCTAATGAAAATGCCACATTGTATTATTGTTCAGCTAAGAGGTAGAAACAAAAGTTATTGCTTGCCTTTCAGTTCTGACATCAGCTCCCACCAATGTAAGAATAAAAATAAAACGTGAATTTTTGCATAAAATGCAAAGTCATACCTGTGTTTCAAGGTTGTTATAGAGAGACTGATCTATTCACAGCTTAAGTAATGTATATACCATGAATTATCATGCCCTAATAATCTAATCACAAATATTTTTCTCTAGATTTAAATATATTTATGAATAAATTGGAACTAGACTGAAACTTGAGAATACACAAACATATTTATATAGTACCAGTAAGTGAGTTTGCCATGGATCAGATGGCTTATAAAAACAATAACTGTAAAGTAAAAATAAATATGAAATCCATCTATTCTGCTGAATAAAAACCTATCATGTAGCAGATGTCCAGATGTATGTCAGAAAAGTCAGGCTTTTAGGGGAATTGTTTATTTCAGAGGGTATTACTCCCCCTAAAATGAGAAGTAAGAGCAAGAAAGATGCCTGTGATTTCCATAACTATGTTGTATTGGAGCTATTTGCCACTGCAGTTAGAAAAGAGAAAGCAAATTAAATGTGTAGAGGAGAAATCCAAAACTACTACAGTTAATAAGAGAATTTGGTAAAAGTACTAGGGTAAAGTTTGGTGGGGCTTAAAATTAACATAAAAAAACATCCAGTATGTAGGATAACTATTACTAAATATTGAACACATTATAAAACCTCTATAATTAAAGCTGTGATGTTGGCACATGAATAAACAGACCAAGGGAACAGAATAAAAAAGACCCAAGGTGTATGGGAGTTTTAGAATACAGTAAATAGCATTTCATAACTATGGGGAAGAGATGGGTTCTTATTGAGATAACTAAAAATAGCCATATGGGTACATTCCAAACAGATCAGAAGATCTAAATGTAAAAGTGAAGCCACATGAGTACTGAAAGACTCCATCGTAACCTCAGTGAGGGAAAACTGTACTATGTGACTTACTTAAAATCTAGATGTAACAAAGCTAAATATTGATCATTTTAACAATGTAATGTTTACATGGCAAAAAAAACCCCACAATTACCAAAAACATGACACATTGAGAGAATTCCAAAATTATTAACAAACGCTTCGTTAGAAAAAGGAATGTAAGCGACTTTTTTTTGGTTTGTTTATAACCTTTTTGGCTGTGTTGGGTCTTCATTGCTGTGCATGGGCTTTCTGTAGTCACGGCGAGTGGGGGGCTACTCTTCGTTGCGGTGTGCAGGCTTCTCATTGTGTTGGCTTCTCTTGTTGCAGAGCACAGGCTCTAGGCACACGGGCTTCAGTAGTTGTGGCTCACAGGCTCTAGAGCACAGGCTCAGTAGTTGCAGTGCATGGGCTTAGTTGCTCTGCAGTGTGTGGGATCTTCCTGGACCAGGGCTCGAACCTGTGTCCTCTGCATTGGCAGGTGGATTCTTAACCACTGTGCCACCAGGAAATCCCTAAGTGACCATTTAACATATAAAAAGAATTTAGCATATAAAAAACATACTGTATTTTAACTTTTATTGGAAAAAACTCTAAAACATATGGACTATTCAGGGTATGGGGAAATACATATATGGTAATGGAATGAAAAGGTTGAGCAGCTTAAAACTTGTATAGAAGAGTAGTTGTTGGTAGTATTTATAAGAATTATACGTGCATTTATCCTCTAATTCACAATTCTCCTTCTAGGCTCTTTCCCAAAACTAACTGGCAAAAATTTGGAGTGATACATACAAAAGATTGGAAACACCCAAATGTCAACTCATAGGGGACTAGCTGAGTAAACTAGTACTTTGGGACATCCACACAGGAAGTACTAATAGTCACCAAAAAATGAAGATTATTTCCACATATTGATCAGTCAGGATACATAAGTGGAAAAGCAACATGCAGAACATTGTTTATGCTACACTTAACTTACCTTAGTGTCAAAAAGAGTGGGAAGGGCGTCCCTGGGTGGCGCAGTGGTTGAGAGTCCGCCTGCCGATGCAGGGGACACAGGTTCGTGCCCCGGTCCGGGAAGATCCCACATGCCGTGGAGCGGCTGGGCCCGTGAGCCATGGCCGCTGAGCGTGCGCATCTGGAGCCTGTGCTCTGTGATGGGAGAGGCCACAGCGGTGACAGGCCCACGTACCGCAAAAAAAAAAGAGTGGGAAATGTGAATGTACAATACATGTATTTGCATAAAATTCAAAAAGGAAGAGTAAACGCAAATAAAAATGGTTACCAATAGGGGGAGGAAAGAGATGGGATGGAAGCAATACTGTGACTATCTCTTTCTATAGTTTTGACCATCTAAAATTTAAGCGTTTAAAAGCTAAATGAAAACTTGGGGAATGAGATCAAGATGGCGGAATAAAAGGATATGGAGGTCACTTCTTCATACAAATACATCAAAATACACCTACGTGTGGAATAATTCTCGGAATGCCTACTGGATTCTGGCAGAAGATCTCATACAACCAAAGCAGCAAGAAATACACCATGTAACTGGGTAGGATGAGACCTGTGCCCTTGGGAGGGAGCTGTGAAAGGTTTCCTCACCCTGGGATCCTCCTACACCAGCTGAGAGGTCAGCTAGGAAAGACAGCCTGAGACTTGGAGGACAGTGCAACACCTAACTTGTGGCAAGCAGGGCAGAGACCAACGCAGAGGGTCCTTGCTATCTTGCTGCATTTCCCAGCAGGAGAGAAGCACCTGCTTGGTGTGCACAGCAAGTCGCTGCTGAAACTTGGATTTCAGCTGACAGACTGAGGGAGAGGACTCTTTGGAGACAGCCTGAAGGGCCTGGAATGTGCTCAGGGCCACAAGTGGGGGTGTGCAGGATGGAGCCTGGGTCCGTCATGGGAGCCCAATTGTTAACACACACATGAGAGAGGGGCACGGCCCCGCCATAGCAGCCTTATTCTCGGCTTGCTCACAGTGGGCACAGGTCAGCCACTGAGTTCTAGGAGCACACAAAACACCAGTAGGTTGCCCACACGTGGAGGCAGGGCTGAGGGTAGTGCCAACAACAGTGTACTTTGTGAGCACACACAGTGAGTGACAAATGACATCAGAGAGTGCAGGTCCTGGTGGACAGCTCCTGGGGAGGAATACGCAGTGGCTCCTTTCCCAGATGGAGCACTCCAGCCCCACCTACCTCACACCACAGCTTATAATCAGACCTTGGGGCTTCTACTCTTAACAACCGGGGAGCAGACCCTGCCCCCAAAGGGCTATGACAACCACATAGGAAAGAGGAAGCCCCACTCAACATCCAGTGCAGCCTCTCGTCACCACAACACCAAAAACACCCTCTGTTGGGAAAACGGCCAGCACACACAGGAAAGATGTGGTAGGCACCCATAACAAAAAGAGCCCTACGACCAAAAATACTGGACTCACACAAGCTACACAGGGATGCTTGCACATAAAAACAGCCCTTCAAGAGCACAGTAGATAACTGTTTTCCCTAAATTCATAATAGATTCAGAGAAATATAAGTAAGAAGAAGCAGAGGAGCTATTCCCAATTAAAAGAACAGTGAAACAAACCTCTCCGGTCTACCAGACCCTGAGTCCAAAAAGGAGGTAATAAAAATGCTGAAGGGATTAAGAAAGAAATACTGATAGAAATGCAGATCACTGTAACAAACTATAAAGAGGAGCCAATTAAAATTAGACAATTCAATTACCAAGATGAAAACCTATCTAAAGGCAATAAATAGCAAAATAATGTAGAAGAACGAATAAGTGATGTGGAAAATAGAATAATGCAAACCACCCAAACAATGGGTGGTTTCAGACAAATGAAAAAGAATGAAAGCAACATATGAGAGTTATGGGATAATATAAAGCATGCCAATCTACGCATAACAGAGATCTCAGAATGAGAAGAAAGAGAAAAGGGGATCGAAAATGTATTTGAAGAAATTATAGCTGAAAACTTCCCAAACCCAAAGAAAGAAACATATCCAGGTAAAGGAATCACAGAGGGTCCCAAACAAGATGAATCTAAACAGATCTACACCAAGACATGTCAAAATTAAAATGGCAAAAGCTAAACACAGAGGATTCTAAAGGAAGCAAGAGAAAACAAGGAGTCAGTTACAAGGGAACCTCTATAATGCTATCAGCTGATTTCTCTACAGAAACTCTGCAGGCCAGAAGGGAGTGGCAAGATATATTCAAAGTCGTGAAAGGGAAAAACCTACTATCTAGGATACTATACCCAGTAAAATTATCATTTAGAATAGAAGGAAAGAGAAAGAATTTCTCAGACAAGCAAAAACTAAAAGAATACAGCAATTCTAAACCTATCCTAAAAGAAATATTGAAAGGTCTGCTTTAAATAAAAAAGCAAGAATCTATAAGAAAGGGAAAATCACAGTAGGAAAGACAAATATATAAAAGGACTGTACATCACTTAAATAGCTAGTACATAGATTAAAAGAATATCAAAAAACACTTTGTGGGCTTCCCTGGTGGCACAGTGGTTGGGAGTCCGCCTGCCAATGCAGGGGACACAGGTTCGTGCCCCGGTCCAGGATGATCCCACATGCCGCGGAGCGGCTGGGCCCGTGAGCCATGGCCGCTGAGCCTGCACATCTGGAGCCTGTACTCTGCAATGGGAGAGGCCACAACAGTGAGAGGCCCACGTACCGCAGAAACAAAAACAAAAAAAAAACTTTGTGAAAGTGATTTTAACTACAATGAACACCAAAAGGATAAATAGGAAGATATAAAATAGGACATTAAAATCAAAAAATGAGGGGGAGGGGAGTAAGAAAATGCAGATTTTTAAAAGAACGTGTTTGAGATTATATGACTACCAGCCTAAAGCATGTAGATATAGTAATGGGTTAACAAACCTGAAAACCAGGGTAACCAGAAATCAAAAACATATAATAGATTCACAAAAACCAGAAAGAAAACTCAAGCGTAGGGCTTCCCTGGTGGCGCAGTGGTTGAGAATCTGCCTGCCAATGCAGACGACACAGGTTCGAGCCCTGGTCTGGGAAGATCCCACATGCCATGGAGCAACTGGGCCCGTGAGCCACAATTACTGAGCCTGCGCGTCTGGAGCCTGTGCTCC